GTGTGAATTCATGCTTGGGTGGGCAGTCAATCCCCTCTATTGAGGGTAATCAATGCTGCTCACTAGATTAAACATATGTGTATAGACACTGGGATTTGCCACGTGGCAGACGAGGCGGTGCATTGGGGGTGCCATGGCTCAGCTGATGTGAGTTTAGGGTATGTGCCTGCGCCGCCGCTCGGACAAATTTTCTAGTTTATATTGGGGCTGCCACATGGCATAACCATATGATTTCGATTTTTACTAATCCATCCGGGGGGTCATATCCCTGTGGTATAAACACTAGGGGGTGCCATGGCCCTACCGATGGCTTCCCTATTGAGGGTTTTAGCAATAGTTTCCCTATTTGGATTGTCTCCTCCCCTCCCCATGGTGCTGCAAGATCTGATTACACGATGGGGATTGCTCAGTAGGGGTATGATCTTATGGAGTGATGGGCAGCCGATTCCTCGATTGAGAGCAATAGTCGCTGTTCATTAGGCTAACACAGCGTGCCTACGTGTCGGTGCATGAGCTCCTTTTGTTTACAGTAGGATGGGCACGTGGCATGTTTACATGATTTTTGATTGTTCATAGGGACGCTGGACCCGTTTTCCAGCAGGTGTTGCTCCCCACCAATAGATGGAGCTTCCCCGGGCTTGGTAGAGGTGTCTGCTCTTATCAGCACCCCTAGCATTAACCCAGGTTGTTTGAAACAAAAAAAAAAAAAAAAAAGAGAGATCGCGACCCTCATCATGACTGAATCTGGCCTGCAAGAACCCTACCATACACACAGAGTGTTACGCGGACTACAGGTTACTAAAAGCTTTCAGGCCACCGCGCGGCCTCCAAAAAAAAATTGGCTGCCCGTTTCTTATTTTACGCGAGCAGGGGGCCAGGTCTACTACTGTCCCTCACAACTTTTTCTTTTTTTTTTCGACCCCCATTTTTGGAGTTGCGCCGCATGCAGTGCGCGCGCATCGTGCGGGATGCGTGGTGCGGCGCACGTGCGCAGTACAGCGCATCACGATGCGCCGCATGTATGGTTTGCATTGAAGTTGACTTTGACATGGACTTGGGGATTGAGCTTTGCGCATATGTTTGCCATTGAATTTTATTCTTAGAAGATGTACTTGGGGATTGAGCTCTTAACCTGAGAAGCCCAAAGGGGCACCACACACACACATGGTTGTAATTTGACCCAAGGAGGTGTAAATTTAGTCGGGTGGCAAGATGATGTGCATGTGCAAAGTCAAGGCGGGACTCCAGTCACTGCGAAGTCATAACCATCATGATTGTAAGGTGTTCAGTGCTTGAAAAATGGATGATAGAAGACTGGGTTTTCTGAACACCTACCTGTTGCATGGATGGTAGTTCTTGACACAAAGTTTGCTTTCCTTAACTTGTCTGGATGGCTTGCTGGCAGTATTGTTGTACATTGTAATTTTTTTGTAGCCATGCATGAACTAATTCATGCTATTGGGGTGCATGGGCTTGTGTCTTCTGTTTGTTCTCGTTGTTTTCGTCTGATGTGATTGCTCGATTGGATTGATCAACCATACAGCTTGGACGGCGGCTATTCACCCACTTGAAGGTTTACAAGGGAGCTGAGCATCCCCATGAAGCCCAGCAGCCACAACCACTGAAGATAACAGACAAGAAGTGTCTGGCTATAGCAAGCAAACAATAATCCTCCCAAAAGGAAAAACTAAAAGACAACTTTAACCGGAGCAGTGATTGAGTTTTGCTCAAAAGCATACAGTCTGTATAGCGTCTTTTCTCAATTGGAGCGGTGATCGAGTTTTGATCAAAAGCATCTCACCTATGTTGATGTCCTTCCTCTTCCACTGACTGCTGGTCTCCTCCCCTTCCTCCTCCTCCTCCTCCTCCTCCTCCTTGTTATTGTTCTTCTTCTTCTTCTTCTTGTTCTTCTTCTTCGTCCCCGTCTCCGTTTCGTCATCTTCTTCGTCCCCGTCCCCGTTTCGTCATCTTCTTCGTCGCCATCTTCGTCTTCACCTCCTACTTCCTCTTCTTCTTCCTCTTCTTTTTCCACTTCTTCTACTTCTTCTTCTTCCTCCTCTTTCTTCTTCTTCTTCTTTCTGCTGCTGCTGCTCCTACCCTGCCTGAGCTCAAACACATGGGAAGGATATGAATCTAGGAATACATGCCATGTCAGCCGTTTGTCTTCATTGCCTCTATCTCTGCCATGTCAGCTGTTTCATGCCAACAATTGCCACGTCTTCATGTAAAAGCTCATCACAAATGAGGACACTGCGAAGTGAGAACCGTATGCCATGTCATTCATATGCCTTGTCTGCTTCTCTCTGCCAGGTCATCTCCTTGCGCACCGCATCTCCACCAACCAGGTCACCAATCTGCTCCATCAGCACTATGCGATGTCCGTATCTTTGATGTCATCACTTCCCTTGTCATCACTTGTCATGTCAGCATTCGCCACAGTAGCCTCTGCCACATTGGTGCATGCATTTGACAGTAGTACAGTTTCTCCATGATACAAAGTCAGCCATTAAGCAACATCAGAGTCTCCATGATACAGGCTACAGGATGCCCCACAAATAGCACGAACAGTCCCGAGTTGAAAAAAAAAGTTGAAAAAAAAAAGAAGGAAAAGTATTATGTTATATGATAACTTATATCATCATAATGTCGTAGGGCATGCTCACACTAGGACTCGCCTGGATGTATATGACCGCTTTCTCAACCCGGCCCGGATGCACCTGACTTCAATTTCGTCCACAGAGAACTGGAAAAAGTCCTATTGTGCTAGGCTGCCAGCTGTCCGATTGGGAGACGTCTCCCCTGGACGTCTCCGGGAGACGGTCAGGGGGGAGTTGTCCGGAAAATCGGACAACGGCTTTTTTGCCAAAAAACAAAACGGGGGGGGGGGTCTGCGCACCACTAGGGGACCCCCCAAAAAAAATTTCAGGCTGTTCTGAGCAAAAACGAAAAAACAATTCAGATATGGTGCGCAAGGTGTGATGGTGGGGTGTTTGGGGGGGGTGGATTGATTGATTGATTGATTGACGGGTGGGTAGACAGATAGATAGACGGATAGGTAGGCAATCGGTTCGACGGGATCCCGATTGATTGATTGATTGATAGTCGAACCGATTGGTTCGATAGGATCTTGAGCAAGATCCTATCTAACCAATCGGTTCAACGGGATCCCGACTGATTGATTGATTGATTGATAGATTGATTGATTGATTGTATTGATTGATTTTGATTGATTGATTGATTGATTGATAGGATTTTGATCAACACTTGGTGAATTCCGCTCGACACTGTCGATAGTGATAGGAAGAGCGGGATCCGGAATAGCAAGGCAATGGTGGGCGGGTGGGCGGGTGGGAATTCGATCGA